CTGAGTCAGATGAGATGGGCCACCAGTGGGTTTTTAATTGCAGTGTAGACATACTCCTGGTTACCTCCTTGTCTCCTGTCAGAGGAAGATTTGTTTAGGCCAGTGGTTCCCAAACTTTTCAGCATCATGTCTCCTTTTCGATTTTTGAAAAACCCTCACACCCCCTATCCCCCTCAAAATAGCAGCAAAACTTGAGCCAAAAAAAAAGAAAAAAAAAGATTGCCTTTTTAAGAGCAGGCATTGCCCTTTTAAGGAGGCCACTGTGAAGTCTTCCCCAGCCAGCCCGAGCTGCTGGCTCTTTCTTGGAGGGAGGAGGACTAATGGGGGGGAGCTGGGTCACCTCATGCCCCCCCCTCAAATTTCTTTATGCCCCCCCAAGGGGGAGCACCCCCATGGTTTAGGCTTTATTGAAAGTAGCTCCCTGACACTTCCAGTCTGTTAGCTCTCCATACAATCTCTTTGGAGCTCTGCCAGCCCTTACTTTGGTTTTTAGGTTAATACTAGATAAATCCCTGTCCCAGAATCCCTTTAAAAACATGCCCCCAACCCCATAGTATCCAGCCTCACTCAGATAGTAATTGCCAGGTAAGCTGTCCCCAAAGGAACAGTGCACACACCAGCTTGTTTGATTCAGCTGAGATATAGCTCCAATGAAACATCTCTGTACTGAGATACAGCAATAATGAAGAAAATCATAAATCTTAGCCAATGATAACAAACTTGAGATAGAGAACAAGGCTAGTGGAAACAGAAATAATTACATATAGAACAAAAAGGTATAACAAACTTCCTGGTGCCTATACTTAACTGTAACAGTCTCAAAATCTTGTTTACTGTAACTTCTCACCTAAAACAGTCTCCCAGTGTTTCCAGCCAACATAGCCAAGATCACCACCTCATAAATGAAGAAAGTGCTATTCCTTTTTTTTGTCATCCTTGGTGAAAGATAAAATTATTTTTTTTACCTTCTTCCGATACCCCAAAAGTTCATTTTTTGTCTCTAGAGGCAAAATGTCCCTCTGGGGTTCATTCTCCAGTGTCTTGTCTTCTGTTGACCTGTCTGTAAAATATGTTTCCATTGTGCTGGCCTATGATGCTTAAGATGTGTATCCGTCAAAGGCGGATTATTTTCTGCCTGGAAGAAACCTGTTTATTAGCCCTTCCCTAAAACATAGTCTCAATTACATCTATGCAACTGTTCAAATAACATCTGTGCATATGTGTCTTTACACTAATATATCTGTAGCTATTTATTACACCTCATGATTTAACTGTTTTATTGTTATAGATTTTTTTTTTTTTTTTTTTTTACTAAAAATAGTTAAAAGCTGGAATGTGAATCTGAATCCCTTTGAAATTCAGGAGGTTTAGATTGCAGTCCTTAGAGCGAAACCTGACTTTACTGATTCCAAGTTAGACTCAAAACAGAAAGTAGAATGTTTTCTGTTGCGGTTTGGAGGCCTTCAAAAGTCTGGGAGAAATGATTATTGCAAGATTTCCAGCCTTCATTCAAGATAATAGAAATATCCAAGAGCAGCTGAGACTATTGCTATTTTGAGCTGAAAGGAAGCCATCCCAGTGAATTTTCAGTATGATCAAATCTGAACCAAAACTCTGGTTCAGGTTTGAGCTCCAATTAAACCATGTCTAGATCCAGATCTAAATACCACTGTTTCATCCAGTCTCTTCTTCCTCCCCTCCCTTCAGACACTATGAATGAAGAACCCAGATATACTGGAAGATTGCTGAATCTTTGTGCTTTATAAAATGGTTTCAATCACATGGAAATATTTGGTTTTCTGTCTTCACATCCTTCTCCTCTCTGTTTCAGGGCCTCACGTCATTTGCCTGTGTCAGCACCTCTCTGACTGCTAATCATTTTCCTGCACAGCTGCTAGTCTTTCCATCTCAAAAGCTATGCACAAATCTGTAAAATATGTATAACAAAATGTGAAGCTACTTGAAAAATAATGGAGTTGTTTGCATTTCATTAGGACTCCCAAATGCGTCAGGGCTGCAAAAAAAAAAGAAATTAGCTGTGATGTTGAAAAAAAATACTTTAAAATTCCTGGAAAAGAACTGGCTCAGACTAATCCTGGGCAACACTGAAGCTGGTTCAAACAGGCAATTACTCTGAATAACTAAGAAATGTATTGAATTCCTCTTCCATCAAAAGAGTATTCACTTCCCTCTGTTTGTAAAGTGTTACTTAGGGTCCTGACTCCTCACAAAGCCGACACTATCAAAGAGCATCAATGATGTGAAATACCTCTTAATTCATTCCTTGCTGGCTGAAGATCTAACCACAGTGATCTGTGCATTCATCACATTTAGAGTACTACAACTTTCTATATTTGGGCCTGAAGATGACAGCAATGCAAATGTAGCTTGTGCAGAATGCAGCAGTCTGCACTGTTAGTAGGATGAAATGAAGGGTATGTCTACACTTGCAGCCTATTCCGGAATAGGGCTGCAAATGTAGGCATTCGGAATTGCAAATAAAGCCCGGGATTTAAATATCCTGCGCTTGATTTGCATCTCCCCGGCTGGGCGCCATTTTTTTAAATTTACAAGCCCGAAATAACTGCCCACGACTACACGCGGCAGTGAAACAGGCATTCGGAATAAAGCCCTATTTTGAGCTACCTGTTAAATCACCGCCTGTAGATGCAGGCAGTTAAAATTGCTGCTTTCAACCCTCTTAATTTAAATGAAAGAAGCACAAAAACAGTTTCCTTGCTTTATCAAATCTTTAAAACTTTTCCTCTTTTTAATAGTTTATGTTTAACACAGTACTGTATTGTACAGTATTTGCTTTTAAAAAAATCTTTTTTCCCTCCACTGCCTGATTGTATATTTCTGGTTACAAAAGAGATCACTGTTGACCAGTCAATTCATAACTCTGGTGTTAGTAACTCTCAGGTTCTACAGTACCAGCTTTCTCTGAGATGATCTCTCTCTACTATATGTCACATGATCCCTCACTATACAGTTCTTTGGGTTAACGTGCACCTGAAGCACATATGAGTTTTGTTTTGGCCCTGTACACTGCTCAATTTAACTTACTGGAGGGGTGAGCAAAAAGCAGCCCATGGGTCCAACATGGTTTGCCAAGATTAGTGAACTGCTACAAGCTTTGCTTACCTGCATGTCCAAAGGCAGGACTGCTTGCAGCTCCCCTTGGTTGCATTGTTCCTGGCCAAAGGGAGCTGCTGGAAGTAGTGTGGGCAGGGCATCACTTCCTATAACTCCCATTAGCTGGGAATGGCAAACCATGGCTGAAGGGAGCTGCAAGTAACCGTACCTGTGGATGTACAGGTAAGCAAAGCTTCTAGCAGCCAGCCGGGGCTAACCTTGGTGCATCATGTCCAACTCATGGGCCTCTTATTGACCGCCCCAACTTACTGAAATGTTGTACCTCTGTGTGATATGAAAGAGAGACCTCAAGATTGATGCAAATATTTTATTAATATTCCCATTACATTTTTATGTTATGTAATTAGAGACTTTCTCTCTATTGAATATTAAGATATAAAGTGATATTTCCAAGATGCTTGAAAACAAACTTACACATTACACTTAGCTAGTAATATTACAAAATGTTCAACCCAAGATATTCCAGGAGGTCTCTAGAGTCACATAAGCAGAAACAAGCAAACACCCTGAAGATGACCCCTCAGTAGCCATAAAAATCACATTGATTACCCCTAAAAGTGACATCTGAACTCAGAAATGCTCTGTTTGAAACCTTGCCTTGTTTTAACTTTATACTTTCTTTGTTGCTGTGCTTAAAAGGTTATTGAAATTTGTGGTTTATGCAAAGTATGTAACAAACTGATTATAATTCTAAAACACTTGGGTCAAGAAAAAAGCGTCTTATGTAAACCAGGAAACCTCTTTCTTGTATGAAATACCAGTTTGATGCAGATGGAATTCTTATCTCAAAAAAATCAACCATGTAAAAAATGTTTTAGGAAAAGACCTGACTCTTAAAAAAATGTAGCAATAAATCTAGGTGGAGAATGGGCTTTCTTAATGTAAACATTTTTTTTCTGAAATGGTTAACATACACATATAAAAAAAATATCCTTATTGGAATAATTTGTGTAACTACTCTAAAAATTCAAGTCAAAGAGACTGGAAACTTTTTACTTTTTTAAATGGCGCACACCTTTTAGAAATGCATACTTACAGATATTAGCTAAATGCAAATATCCTAATATCATTGCTATGTAAATGGCAAAATACTTTATGTAGCAACCAGAAATCTAATAATACAATAAGCCATTTTTGTATGGAACATTAATGATGATGATAATAATAATAGGGAATTCATTAATTGGCATGCTTAAATACCTCTCTCACCCAACTCATGAAGACAAGATGAATCATCTCTCCAAAACTGTCATGAAGGAACAACTTCTTTAATAAATATTTAAGAAAAAGTGAGTGTTTATCAATGATTTAATTTTGAAAGACTGTTTTGAGAACTAAATTCCTTTATATCAGAGGATAGGAATGCTTGGACTTTCTATTTTCAGAAAGTCCAAGCATTCCTGTTCTCTTATATAAAACAAAATTCTGAAAACTAAATTTCATTTCCTGTCAAACTCTAATTAACTTAAAAGAAATCTCTCAGCGAATGGATGGACTAAAAAGGAAAAAAGTTAAACTTTAACTTTTAAAGATATTGGGAACTTCCCATCACAAGAATAACACATACATTTATAAATACGCCATATTCATTAAAAAGACTGAGTTCAAAAGCAGAAAGTATCATCTAAGCCAACTTTTGAAGGCATGGATTCAATGAAAGAGTGACGGCAACCATCTCTGAATCTAAAGAAGCATGAAAGAGGTGTGTTTTCTTATAATATCATGGACATAGAAAGAAGAGAGTTTATATATTAAAAATAAAACACTGAAGCGAGCACCCCTCACATACCTATACTCTACTAAAACCATAAGCACTCATCAGTTTATCTTGTTCTTCTCTACAGGTAAGATGCCACGTACAAAAGCTAAGAAAAGAGAAGACTCGGGAAAAAAACACCCCAAGGAAAACACACAGGTTTCGACATGATTGGAGACAAAAAGTGAACTAATGAACGAAAGGAATTAAATGTAATACTCTTAATGATTTTACTGGAATATGGGAATACTATTATAATTTAAGACACTAAATATTCTCCTGTTAATCATCAAATGGATAAACCAAGTATTCCTGAAGATGAGACAGAGACTAAACACCACAGGTTGAACTTCTAGTCCAGCACTCTCAGGTTCTGTGTTGGGCTGAACCAGAGAATTTTCTGAACCACAGGAGGTTAATATTGTCTAGCAGCATCACCAATACTTCTGCTGCTTACTGAGACGTTAGAAGAATTTAGGGCTAAATTAGAGCTAAATAACAGTACAGAACACTGTGAGCCAGAGCTGGTGGCTGTAAATAAACTTTATGGGACTGCAGGAAACTTGGCCACACCCATGATCAGTGGACATCTGGCTAAAATCATCTCCAGACCAAGGACCAGAGAGTGTTGCTGGACCAGAGAGTGCTGGACTAGAGAGGTTCAATCTGTAATGGGATTTAATTAGATTGAAGATTCTTTATATTCATCATTAGCTGGACTTACCCGGTGTTGCCCAGGAAACTGGAGGAACAAAATTTAGAAAAACAGAAGCTGGTCCTGACAGCCTCCAGTCACACCGCAGCTGCCAGTGCCTGACATCTGGCCATTATGGCAAACCCCCATGCTTTTCTACTGCTGCATAAAGCAAAATCTCTGACTCAAAAGAAGCATCGCAATGCTGAGAATCAAAGCTATTTGACCTGGCAAACTTAGATTCAAAAGTCACAATAGAAACTATGTCTCTGTTTTCTTCCCATGTCATGAGCCTTGGAGCCATTAAAAGCACAGTGGAAGGGAGAGCCCCCAAATCACCATGGCTTGTTTCCCCACCATTGCTGGAAGCATGTGGAGGCCCCTCTTCAATAGTGAAATGTTTTGCTTCCTATCAGATGGTATTTTTGCTAATTATCCTTGTAGAAGCTAATGTTTTTTTGGTAGGGAAGAAGAGGATAGGCACGCTGGGTATAGGGGATGTCTCAATCAATGGGGCTGGCCCTACTGAATCTGAGAGATTTCAAGGTGACACCTCAAACTCTTCTCCCATCTTTTTGATGAAACTATGAGTCCACTACCTGAGCCTGCTGGCACCTCTATAGTCCAGCCTCCAGCACCACCCTCTTGACCAGCTGCCCCTCCCATGGACTGAATCTGTCACCCCTCCCCCCCAAGATCACCCAGTGTCAAACCCAGGACCAGTGCCCAGATTTGAGTGATCCCACCCCCCCACCTTGGATTACATTCTCACCCACCCAGCATCATCCAGTGCTGCCCCTTGGGCCAGTGCCCCTCAAAGGAGACCCCCCTTCCATGGGCTTCATTTCTCATTCCCTCCCTGCAGGATTGTCCAGCCCCACTTCCTTCATACCCCTACAATCCTGCCCTCTCCCCACTCGCCCCCAATGGTCCAGCCCTCTCAACCAGGCCCCCTATTCATTCCCCTCCCCCTTGCTCTCACCTCTGGGTCCCTGATGCGCCTCCTTCCAGACATTTTTTCAAAGTGGCAGCTGAATGGTAACACCAGCCTTGCCCCTCCTCCTAGAGTGAGCCCCATTGGTCGGCTGCTGGGCCCCGAGTCAATCGCAGTATTGAAGAAGGGCCTCCATATACTTCCAGCAATGGCGGGGAAGCCACTTCTCCCCATACTGCCAAGCTCCATGCAGCCCCGGGGAGAGGCGTCGGTCTCTCATCTCTTCCCTCCCACAGTACCTTAAAACCTTCTCCTGGAGGAAAGGTTATCCCATACAAAGTTTTGTTGCAGTAGGTCTTATAGTGTCCAAGTTATTAGAGCACAATCATACAAACATTCTCCTTTATATATTAGATTGACCTGTCTTGCCAACTCCTTAAATGGCTTCTTTTAAGTAATGGATTTAATTTTTTTCTTAGGTTTCATTGGATTTATTTAAAGTATCCAAACCACTGATGGGGCAAAATACAGGAGAGACTGTAACTGGAATAAATCAGTTTATCATTTATATTTGTCATTATCCTTTCTTTAATAATAAAATAGCCATGTTGCATTACTGTAGTCCAGTCTGGAGATACCAGAGTCATGTATAACTGAAGCTAAGTTATCAGCCACCAGGACAGGAAAGTCTCTTAGCCCAGAGATGTTAGAAAAGTTACTTGCTGATGATCCTATTTGGCAGCTTAGTATTAGTGAGGAAGTCAGGAAGACTCCTAAACTATGGACTGGATTAACCAGTGGTGGTTGTATCCCTTCAGCCAAAGGAGACTGTGCTGTGGCTGCAAACGCTTTCTGCATTGCTCACCAGTGTCACCTCTATCTTGCTCAGGTTCAGCTTTAAAAAAAATAATACAAAAACTAGCAAGTGGCTCAGTGTATTGTTTATTATGATTATAATTTAGTAGTTAGTACAAAAAGTAAACTAAAGGCGGGGAAAGGGAGAAAAGAGAGAACAAAATGAAATAGAGTTTCATGATGGACTTGGAAAAAGTGTGAGTTACCAGTTGGAGACAGAAAAGTAAGCTGACAGAGAAAACTTTTACAATTAACACACAAAATGTTTCAATTAAGTACATTCAAACTTATACCATACTTTGATACAGCTTATATTCATCCTTCTCCCAGCATGGACAGTTTCTCATAACCTCATTTCCACTCTCTCTTCCTTTTCTCCCCCTCCCCCACCAACAAAACACAAAAACAAAATCAATTCATAGAACACTAGTATTACTAATCAAGGGAATCAATAAATATACACTTTCCATTACATAGACTAACAGGCCGGTTACTACATGAAAAACATTTAAAGGCTAAATTAAGAATGTTTGAAGGCAATTAGAATTATAGTTACATAGTAACTGAATGACTTATTTTACTTACAATTTCAGAAAATTGGTCAGGAAATTCGGAAAATAAGAACAGGCCAACCTTGAAAATGATGATTTTATATTATCCTCATAATTTGCATTCCCTCCAAACTAATTGCTGTTCCAATATCCATGAGTCTAAACAACAGACTTCAGCTGGAGAAGGATGGAAAAAAATGTACAGCTTGGTCACTTATTAATAAACAATGAGGTTCTCTAACCACTTCTGTCAATATCATGTTGACCTACAGTAATGAAGAGGGGGAAAGCTATACAAATTAACTGGGCATTTGAAGTAATATGGAAGTCTAACAAACTGTGTTCAATTTAAAAGTTGTAAGAAAAATGAGAAAAAAATAAAAAAAGAGAATGATATATTATCAGTATTGCCAACCCTATCTGTTTAAAATCAGTGTTCCAGGCATCCAAAATGATGAGATTTTAAAATAAAATAAAATAATACCACCACCACATTTTCTTTCTGTTACTAGAACTATTAGGGTTAATATTTTAATCTTTTCTCCAGACTAGAAGCAGTCTCTTTTCTTAGAGTGAAAGCTGAACTCGTGGGCTACGTCTACACTGGCCCCTTTTCCGAAAGGGGCATGGTAATTTTCCAGGTCGTAATAGGGAAATCCGCGGGGGATTTAAATATCCCCCGCGGCCTTTAAATAAAAATGTCTGCCGCTTTTTTCCGGCTTTTAGAAAAGCCGGAAAAGAGCGTCTACACTGGCCCCGATCCTCTGGAAAAAAGCCCTTTTCCGGAGGATCTCTTATTCCTACTTCAAAGTCTAGGAATAAGGTCTACTTCAAAGTAGGAATAAGAGATCCTCCGGAAAAGGGCTTTTTTCCGGAGGATCGGGGCCAGTGTAGACGCTCTTTTCCGGCTTTTCTAAAAGCCGGAAAAAAGCGGCAGACATTTTTATTTAAATGCCGCGGGGGATATTTAAATCCCCCGCGGATTTCCCTATTACGACCTGGAAAATTACCATGCCCCTTTCGGAAAAGGGGCCAGTGTAGACGTAGCCATCAAGTAATACATAATTCCAGAAGGTAGGGCTTTAAGAAACTGAGCCAATAATAATTGTATTATACAGTTCCTCATTAGGCTACACTGTATTATACAGTGCAGCTACATTATCTTCTCAAGAAGTCTAGGAAAATGGGTTGGGGCTCAAAATTCTGTTTGCCACACTTACTGGAGTAGTCCCTCTGAAGTTTATAGAAATATATGAGAGAAGCAGGTATGGGCCCTGAGTCTCCAATGTAGGGCCTGATCCAAAGCCCGAAGGGATCAAGGGAAAAACTCCCATTAATCTCCATGATTTCAGACCAGGATTTAAAGAGAGTATGATAAAAGAGGTCAGCTAGGATTCTTGTAACAAAAAAAAAGTTAATGAAGTTCATCACAAATAATAAAAACAAGGAAACTTCCTTGATACCGGATTTAGAGGTTAACTAAATCAGAGAAGATCATTAAAATTGTCTCAATCAGTCAACTACCATTTAAAGTTTTTCACCTAATCTGAGAGAATACGACTTCTATAAACAAGGTATTTATACAGACAGATGGTGGCTAACTAGAATATCAAAGACTTGAAGAAAAAAAAAAGACTATTCCCTTTCACTATGACACTAGTTTAAAAAAAATATCAGATTTGTGAAAGTTAAGAAAAGTGTGCCTGAAATACAGAATCTGTTCTTCTGTCTTTGGCAATAGCTCTTTTGGAATCAGGAAGGAAGATACACAGAACCAAGTTCGGAGAGCACAGTCAAATCAGTGACAGTCAAATCTCTGTAGTCCAGGAATCATATGATGTGTTAATATCATGAGCTTCAGGAGACTCAAGCTGCAAGGGGATTTTAATGTAAGCCACAGTCTCAGCATCTCTGCTCTAAATCAATCTAATTTGCACCTTCTTTCAGCCCCATTAGTGTGCGAGTTAAATTAAGTTAAACTCTATTATATTCAGCTGAGCAAATTCTCAAGGCTGATATTAGTGTCTTGTCAAGCCAGGACTTAAAAACCTTTAAGGATGAAGATTCCACCACTTCCCTACGTAACCCATTCCAGTTTTACCACCCCCCCTAGTAAAGTAGTTTTCCCCTCAATATCCAACCTAGACCTTCCCCAATGCAACTTGCAGGTGTAACTGAAAGCAAAATACTGGCCCAGTTTCTCTCCCTTATAACCATTTGCCAAGGTGTAAGTTACTATTTCCATGTTAGCTCTGAATTTGGCCCATGGTCCCTTAGTATTTTTCATTCTTTTTATTTTTTTTAAAAAAGGTACCTTTTTTCATGTTTACATTGCTATGTCTAGACTGCAAGCCTCTTTCGAAAGAGAGCGTCTAGACTGCACGTTGAACTTCCGAAAAAGCGGCTTGCTTTTTCGAAAGAAAGCATCCAGTGAGCCTGGATGCTCTCTTTTGAAGAAGCCCTATTTACATTGAAGAACGCCTTTTTTGAAAGAGGAACTTTCGAAAGAAGGCGTTCTTCCTCGTGAAATGAGGTTTACCGCCATCGAAAGAAAAGCCACGTTCTTTCGATTTAATTTCGAAAGAACGCGGCTTGAGTCTGGACGCAGGGGAAGTTTTTTCGGAAAAAGGCTACTTTTCCCGAAAAAACCCCTGAGTCTGGACACAGCCAAAGAGCTGGAGAAGACTGGGGTTGAACAATATAGAGTATTCTGTTTTTGATGGTTGGTAGTTAGGGTAGCCTGCCAAGTTGGAGTAGCTGGAGAGCACACAGAGAATGGACCCAGTGAAGAGAAGGCTGCTGAATTAGCTAGCATTTTGGGACCAGAACTGATTAAGTTAGAGACCCTTAAGATTAATTTAGGTAACAAAAAGCAACAATTCAAGTCCCCCAGATTGTTACTTACTTAACTTTAATATCACACTGACTAATGAAGCACAGTACTATTAAACCACCATCACAGAAATGAGGGCTGGAGAGATCCTCAATAGTTCATCTAGTCTAATCTCAGGTTTTCATTTACACCTTCCATAAATAGACTAGAACTCTCAAACCTTCCCTGCCACCCCCAGTCTACTATTAAATTCTCTCTTCCCTTTGTTTCTGAAGATATAGCCCAGTTAGAAAACATTGATATAATTTATTCATGTATACTGTACTATTTACAAGAAATTGCTGCTAGGCATGGTAAGAATTAATGGGCTTCATTTGGAAGTTTACATAACCAATATTTACTGTTATTGTCTATGGTTTCTTGAATTTTTCATATAAAATTTTAAACCAGCAAACCAGTAAATAAAATGAAGTTACAATAACTAGAAGACTGATGAACTTTCCTCTAGGATAGCTCTTGTCAGCAGTCAGATTTTAGCTATTGTATAGGAGTCATTCTGAGAGTCTGAATGGTTAATGAAGTATCAGTTCATAGCAAACATGCAGAAGTTCCCAGTATTTAATGGACCTGTTCAATTTATCGTGGCATCACCAGAAAACTGTTTATTGTCAAAGACACCCAAATAAACCCATGAACCATTGGAATCAATTCAGGTTAGATTCAATCATATTTTTGATTAATGACATTGGGAAACATTTTGAAGTGAAATCACTGAAATCATCGGACTTTCCAGAGATGAGCCATGTGTAATACTTTTCATTCTAAAGCACAGAGTCAACACACACTCCATTTTGTTTGACACAAAGGAGGGGGAGAAGAGGGGGAAGGGGAAGAAACTCTAGCTCCATAGAATTCAATTTCAAAATTCCCCTTGACTTCATGGAGGCCAGAATTTCATTTGAAGTCCATAGATCATTTAAACTAAGTAGATAAAAGGTATTGAAGGAAGACTTCCCTAGGTCAAAAAAACGGACACCAAGAAACAGGAAATTTTACAAGAGTTCATTGAAATCCATGGTTACCAACTCACTCATATGCTACACAGAGACTGTAATAAGTTTCCTTGTAAAGTAAGGATTTTCTAAGAGTACCTATATCAGTAAAAGGAAGAACAATATTTTTCCAACAATATAAAGAATTAAAAATTAATTTGTTCAATTTTTGTTATTCCACCAGTGAAGTCTCGTGCCCTAATTACCATTAATTAAATCTGAACTGGACAAGTCTAAAGGA